CTGACCCTGATCCTGGGGGTGGCCAGGCTACAGACCCTCGGCTTCTTGCCTCCCTGCTCAGCCTGGTCTAGCCCTGATGGGGACACCCTGGGTGGGGCCAACAGGGTTTGAGGTCTGGGTCTGGGGGACACAAAGTTCAGACCACTGCAGCTGGTCTTCCCTAGGAGGCCCCAGGCAGGGCACCTAGTCCTCTAGTGCAGCCAGTTTTTACCAACCTTTTACACCAGCAGCAACTAAGACAAAGAGCTCTCAGGGAGGCGGCTGCAGGAGCTTGAGTCACTTCCCCTTCTGGTGCCCATGTGGCTTTGCCTAACCTCAGCACTGCCCTCCTTCCCTCTGACTTAAGACCATGCAACCTCCATCAAGCAAAGGCCAATGCCTCACGTCCCCCTTCTTGTGGCTCCCCAGGGTCAGTGTCAGTCCCCATGCCTGGTCCTCTTGCTGAGACTCTCCCTATCATGAGGGGCATGATCTCAGGCCCAACGCACCCACGGTCCCAAGGACAGCACTGCTACCAGCTTGCATTTCTTTTTCTTTCTTTCTTTCTTTCTTTCTTTTTTTTTTTTTTTAAAGAATCTAGCCTTTATTTTCATTTGTTTTGTTTTTTTAGGGATTGAACCAGGGATTGAACTCAGGAGCACTCAACCACTGAACCACATCCCCAGCCCTATTTTGTATTTTATTTTAGAGACAGGGTCTCACTGAATTGCTTAGCACCTTGTCCTTGCTGAGGCTAGCTTTGAACTCACAATCCTCCTGTCTCAGCCTCCAGAGCCACTGTATTCTTATTTGTTTTTATGTGATGCTGAGGACCAAACCCAGGGCCTCACCTGTGCTAGGCAATTGCTCAACCACAGAGCTACAACCCCAGCCCCACCACCTTGCATTTCTGCAATGTCTCTGGGCACTGAATATTTGCAAAAAGGAGGGCCCATGGGGCTGGGGTTGTGTCTCAGTGGTAGAGCACTCACCTAGCACATGCAAGGCACTGGATTTGATCCTTAGCACCTCATAAAAATCAATAAATAAAATAAAGGTTAAAAAAAAGGATTAGGCGAATTTGTGCTGGCAGAGGCAGTAGGAAGCAAGTTTCTGGCTGCAAGAGAGGCACAGGAAGAAGTCTCAGGCAACTAAGCTCAATTCTGAACATCATGAATCATCTGCAACTCCTTATCTCTGACCCCTTATCTGGAACCCAGGGTGCATTCTGGTAGCTAGAATGCTAATTTCTACTAAGCCATGAATCTACTCCTAAAATGCCAAATCCAAGAGACCATTAGATCCTTGAACATAAATTCTCAGTCTGTAAGTGTGAAAATAAGGTTGCAGTTTACTTATCTGACTTAAGCCTTTCAATTGTAGAATAGGCTTTGCAATTTGGTGGGGGACATAAAATCTGAAGCGATGCTCAAATGTGTTTGGCTTTGTTATAATAATTTGCAAAATGCTTGTATTTGACCTTAATTTTCATTTATTTTTATTTTTGGCCATATCGCGATCTAATCCAGGGCTTCATGCATGCTAGACAAGCACTCTGCTGCTGAGTACCAGCCATGATCCTAAAAGAAAAGGACTTTCATGGAAGTGATGCTTACAGGCATGCTCATTAACTGTGGCTTACTCAGTAGGTTCAATGCACTTAGCAAAACCTTGCATGAGGCCAGCCTACCCAGGAGGTGGCATGATGCTGATCAGAGAAAATCTTACAAACTATGGGGCTCTCGGGGTTTTTTGCAACTCCATGTGAGTGGCTCTATGGCCCATCAGCCACCTACAGAGATTTTATCCTCTATTCCATGCAGGGCCACAGGACTTCCTGGTTCACAGGGCAGGAAAAGGTGTGGGCATGCCTGGAGTCCACCTGTGGGAACTGGATTGGGTGCCACCATGTGCTCCCTCCACTCAAGCCAACAGATGGACTAAAGGTTCCAGCTCTCCACTGAACTGCGAGGGATAGCTGCTCCCTGGGAAAACAGGCCTGCCTTCCCTGCCTGGAGGTGTTTCAGTGGGTAAGCACTGCAGTCCCCTAAAGCGCTGGCCACCTTCTGCTATTTATTTTTAAGTGTGGTCACTCCTGAGGGCACAAGAGGGGCCATTGCTTAGTGGGCACACTCAGTTCTCCAGCCATGGGTGTGGGAGAACAAAATGTGCCACCCTAAAATACACTTCTAGGCATACACTGAGATGACCATTCGGAGAAACTGGAGACACAAGTATAAGTCCGAAAAATCTGCTGTTTTGCAAAAGGAACGCAAGTAGGTCACTCATGGGAGTAGTCAGAGGCCCCAGCCCTGTCTGGGCCCGTCCAGGCGCCCACCTCTCCTCCCACACCAGGAGGTGCTCAGGACACCCGTCTCTCCAGGGCCTTCTCCCCCAGGGGGACAGCCACCGCGCGCTGCGCGTCCCCGGGCCACCCCCAGGGCCCAGGCCCTCAATTTCGCTGGGCAGGAAGCCTGCCGCCGGGCTGGTGGGAGCTGCGCGCCTGGAGGTGCACCTCCTCCTCCGGCAGGCCAGCGCCGCCGGCCGGGCTCAGCGCAGACCCGCAGGTCCCGCAGCACTTGAAGCCCCTTCCTCTAAGTGTGCACGCATCCACCTCGGAAGGGCTCTGGTTCGGATTTCCAGCACCAGGTGCTTCACCGCCCGGTACTAGCTGCAGGCTTCCGTTCGCGATTACCTCCCTCAGGGGAGGGCGCCGGCTCCGGCCCACCAGGAGGTCAGAACGGCCAGCAGGCCGCAC